GGAGCGGCCACTGCACACCAGTCTGGGCGACAGAGTGAGACTCCAACTCAAAAAAAAAAAAAAGGCCCTGGAGACTAAACAAAATCAGGCAGATCCTGGAGGGAAGTTGGTACTTTTATATAATATACGCCCCTCCCCCCCTTTTTAACAGCTTTTAGTCTGCAGGAAGACTATAGTATGAGATGGATAAAACTCTCATAGAAAACATATCTTGATGTATCTCTTGATCTGAATAATGAGAGTATAGAGACAACTATAGCCACTAGACAATGAGGGGGCGATCTCCAGGAAAGAGAGAGTCAGAGAAGTAGAGCCTTAGGTTCTGTGAATAAACTTCGCTCAAATTTCTGTCTCACCCTAAACCACACATGTGCAGGTTAGGTTCAAAGCAGTCTAGTTAAGGGATAAAGCGATGAGCTGAGATCTGAGCTACTGTACAAAAGATACAGTTTGTAGTTTGAATATAACCGAGTTAATTGTCTACCTAAAAAGATAATCAACATTTTTCAGAGTATACTAGGATCCATATTCTCTACAATATAACAGTCACAACATCCAGGATACAATAGACAATGACTTGACATTTGAAGGACCAAGAAAATGTAATCCATTCTCAAAAGAAAAGACAATCAGAAAAGTCTATTCTACAATGACCCACTTGTGGAATTAGCAGACAAGTATTGTAAAACAGGTATTATAATTATTCTCAATGATGTAAAAGAAAATATTGTTTCATGAATGAAAAGATAGGCAATCTCAGATGACAGAAATTATCTATTAAAAAATGTAAATTCTGGAATTAAAAATTACAAAGTCTGAAATGTAAAAAAAAAAATCACTATATGAAGTTAGAGCAGAATGGAGATGACAGAAAAAAGAATCGGTGAATGTGAAGATAGACCAATGGAAATGATTTAATCTAAAGAAAACAAAGAGAAAAAGAATTGGTGACGAGCATGACAAGAGGCCCAAAGTCCTCTGAGACAACTTCAAAAGTTCTAACACACATATAGTTAGACTCTTAGAAGGAAAGTAGAGAGAAAATAGAGCAGGAAGAAAACTGAAGAAATAATGGCTGAAGAATTTTCAAATTTGGTGAAAGACATACAATTATAGATACAAAAAGCTTAGCAAACACCATGTAGGCTGTACAGAAATAAACCACTCCAGGGCATAAAGCAGTCAAAGTTTTGAACATCAAGGTAAATAGAAAGACCTTGAAAGTGTCCAGAGAAAAATGACATATCACATATGGGGAAACAATAATTGAGATTATTGTTGATTTTCATGAGAAATTTTAAAGGCCAGAATAGAGTAGAACATTTACATAAGGCTGAAAGAAAAAAAAAACAAACCCTGCAAACAAGCCCTGTCCATTCAGAATCCTATATCCAGTGAATATAGTCTTCAATAATAAAAGCAATACAAAGACATTTTAAAGATAAAAGACAACTCAGAGAATTGATTGCCAGCAGAAGTGTTTTATAAGAAGTTCTTCAAGCTGAAAGGATATGGCACCAGGCAGAAACTTGAAACTTCAAAATGAATTAAATGTATCAGAAATGGTAAGCATTTTGGTAAATAATTTTTGCCTTTAATTTGAAAGAAATACATATGATTGTTTACAGTAAAAATTATAATAATATTTCATGGACTTTATAAATGTATATAAAGATAATACATATATCAATTATAGCTTGAACATAAGGGGGAATAAAAGGATTTATTTAGTTGAAATCTTTCTACATGTTATTTGAAGTAATACAGTATTAACTCCAGGTAGACTATGAAAAGTTAAGAATGTATATCACAGCCGGGCTTGGTGGCTCAGCCTGTAATCCCACGCTTGGGAGGCTGAGGTGAGTGGATTGCCTGAGCCCACGGGTTTGAGACCCACCTGGGCAACTTGGAGAGACCTCATCTCTAAATAAGTCAAAAAAAAATTAGCTGGGCATGGTAGCGTGCACCTGTAGTTCCAGCTACTTGGAAGGCTGAGGCGGAAGGATCACGGAGCCCAGCAGGTGGAGGCTGTGGTGGCCGGGAGTGGCCACTGCACTCCAGTCTGGGTGACAGAGTGAGACTCCAACTCAAAAAAAAAAAAAAAAAAAGAATGTATATCACAATCACGGAGCAACTGCTAAAGATAATGTAAAGAAAGAAGTATAATTTTAAAATACAAGATATAAATTAAAATGTAATTTTGAAATATTCAAATAATCCAAAAGAATGCAGTCACAAGATAGAGAAACAAAAAGCAGGGGTAACAAAAGTAAACAAATAATAAACTGTTAGCTATATAGTCAGCCACATCAACAATGACATTATGTGTTAATGGACTAGTACTCCAATTAAAAGGCTGATACTATAAGCATAAAAAGAAGCAAGATTCAGCTATATGCTGTATTAAGAGGATGAACTTTAAATGTAAAGGTCCAAGTTGAAAATAAGTGAATGAAAGAAATATATCATACTAACAATAAGAATAAGACTACAGGAGTGTGGCTATGTTGATATCAGATATTATAGACATCAAGATAAAGATTATTACTAAAGGATATTTCATAACGGTAATATGATCAAGTCATCAAGGGGACATTACAATCATAAATGTGTATATACCTAACACTGATGCTTCAAAATACGTGAAGCAAAAATTAACATAATAAAAATAAGTAGACAAATCTATAATTATACTAGGAGACTTTTTTTTCTTTTTTCTTTTAGATATGTGGGGTACAATTCAGGGTTAGGTATACAAATGTTCATTGTGCACGTACCCTTGTTAATAAGATGTGCCCCCTCCTCCAGCAGTTTCTCACTACTGCCAATCCCTTTCCTACAGTATTATGATAGATGTTCAATGTTCACTTATGAGTAAGAACATGTGATACTCGGTTCCTTGTTTCTGTGATAGATCACTCAGTATTACAGACTCTAAGTTCATCCAAGTTGCTGCAAAGTTCATAATTTTGTCCTTTATGGCTTTATAATATTTCATCGTGTATACATACCGCATTTTTTTAATCCAGTCTTCTTTCTATGGGCAGCATGGCTGGTTCCATGTTTTTGCTATTGTGAATAACGCTGCAATGACATGCATGTGCAGGTATCTTTTTCACAGAGTTATTTGAGTTCCTCTGGGTATATTCCCAGAAGGGAGATTGTGGGGTCATATGGGAGGTCAAATTTTAGATCTTTTAGGGATCAGCACACTATTTTCCACAGAGGTTGTACTAGTTTACACTCCCACTGACAGTGTAGAAGTGTTCCCTTTTTGCAGAATCCCCTCCAGTATCTGTTGTTTTTTGAGTTATTGATGATGGCCATCCTGACTGGAGTTAGGTGGTATCTCAGTGTGGCTTTAATTTACATTTCTTTGGTGACTAGTGAGGCTGAGCATTTTTTCACGTATCTGTTAGATTTGCTCCTATATCTTCTTTTGAGAAGTGTCTATTCATATCTTTTGCCCACTTTGTCATGGGGCATGTTTTTTTCTTTTTGGCATGTTTGAGTTCCTTGTAGATCCTAGATGTTAGACCTTTCTCAGATATACAATTGGCAAATATTTTTTCCCAGTCTGTGGGCTGTTTCCCTGCTCTCTTGATGGTTTCTTTGGCTTTGCAGAAGCTTGTCAGTTTGATAAGGTCCCACTTGTCTATCTTATCTCTTATGGCATGGGTACTTGGGTTTAGATCAGGAATTGGTTGCCAGTTCCAATTTCCATAAGAGTGTCTCCTACATTTTCTAAGGTTCTTATAGTTTAAGGTTTTACGCTTGAGTCTTTGAACCATTTAGAGTTGATTTTTGTGTATGGTGATAGGTAGGGGTCTTGTTTTAATCTTCTGCATGCAGTCAGACAATTTTCCCAGCACCATTTCCTGAATGGGTTCTCCTCTCCTCGGTGGTTGATGGTGGAGGCTTTATCGAAGATGAATTGGTTTAGAAATTGACGTTCTGCTTCTGGAATCTCTATCCTGTTCCACTGGTGTATACACCTGTTTTTGTACCAATACCAGGCTGTTTTGATTATTGTAGCTTCATAATAAAGCTTAAAGTCTGGGAGCATGATGCTCCCTGCTTTGTTTTTTTGGCTGAGGATTGTTTTGGCTATTTGTGGTCATTTATGATTCTATATGAATTCCTGTAATGTCATTTCCAGGTCTGAGAAGAATGCTGCTGGTAATTTAATGGATATTGCATTAAATCTGTCAATTGCCTTTGGTAGGATGGACATCTAATCAATGTCAATTTTTCTAATCCATGAGCATGGAATATTTCTCCATTTGTTTATATCACCTCTTTGATTTCTTTGAGTAGTATTTTGTAGTTTTCATTGTAAAGGTCTTTGACTTCTCTGCTTAGGAAGATGCCAAGGTATTTCATTTTTTGTGGTTATTTTGAATGGGATTATGCTCCCGGCCACCGCTGCCTTGACCTGCTGGGCTCCGGCGATCCTTCGGCCTCAGCCTTCCGAGTCGCCAGAATTACAGGCGCACGCTACCACACCCCGCTAATTTTTGATTTATTGTAGAGATGAGGTCTCTCCTGCCCAGGTGGGTCTCAAACCTGTGGGCTCAGGCAGTCCACTCATCTCAGCCTCCCAAAGGCGTGGGATTACAGGCTGAGCCACC